TACACCTTACCTAAATACTTACCCTCCTTTCTTATCATCTCCAAATTCTCATTCCTCGCCACCACATCCTTCACCTTCACCACCACCCTCTTCTACTTCATATTATTCACATCAAAAATCACCTCCTTCAACCTCATCATCATCACCAGCCACTCATTATTACTATCCTTATCCACCCCAACTTTCTACACAACAATATCATCATGACCATCATAACCATCACCATTCTTCCCAAAATACGAACTCTACTGCTACTATTAATAATTCCACTACTAATAAACCCAATATTAATAATCCTAATAATACTAACATTAATAAAAACAACACTCGTATAAAAACGTCATCTAAATCAAATTTATATCGATCAACTCAACAATCTCCATCTCCACCATCATCTAATAACAATAATAGTTCTAATGGTAGCAGCAATAATAATAATAATAATAGTCATCATCATGATAATAGTAATACATTGATTCACAATGGATCTAGCCAATCAACTCCAATACGCCCATATCAAAGAAGCCACACATCACAAAATGTTATAACTGAACCATTTGTCACAGTAACACCAGAGCTAAACAATAGACCACCAAGAAGACGTAGACGTCCTCCATTCTCTTACTCATCATTAATAGCTCAAGCTATTTTAGATTCACCTGAACATAGATTAACATTACGTGAAGTTTACCATTGGATAATGGAACGTTATCCACAGTTATATAAAGCTGATGATACTGGTTGGCAGGTTAGTTTTTATTTAATTATTATAAAGTAATTTTATTTTAGTAATTGGTTGATCAATCATTTTTTGGGGTACCATCATCATGATCGTTATTTTATTATTATCTTACACCAATCCAAAATTTCATTTTAATTTTCCTTATAAAAAAAAAAACTTAATATAGAAAAAAAATTTTTTTTACACATTTTTATATTATAATATAAATTATTACGGGTAACCCCGATCTAATATGGTTAGAGCGCAATCTAATCAAGCACGGGTACATGGATGAAGATAATTTACTACATTAAGAATAAACAAATCTCAATGTATAAAATCCAGGAATTTTATAAAAATATCAATTTATTATTTTAATAAACAATCATTTTTTTGTTATCTTTAAAATTTTTGTTTGTTACATGAAAATGAATATATATTATATTTGAAAAAAATGTTTGTGGTGCAAAAATGTAATGTTGATTTTATTATTTTCAAAATTGATTTTTTGTACATGTAAGATGCAACGACATTCATATGATATGTGTGATATATATATATATATACATGTTATATATATATTGATTGATTTGATTGATGACGGGTGATAAATAATTTTGAAAAAGAATTCATCGTGTAACATTTTTGTTTGATGTTTGTTTTGATAATTAATTAAAAGACGTTAAAAATCAAAATAAAAAAATTCTAAAAAAGAATTTAGAATAATAATTGTTATACTATTATTAATCATTATCATTATTACTATTTTTATTATTTTTCATGGGAATTCTTCCACGGAGAAAGTTTTTGTTTTAATATATAATAATCATTATAATCATTCTAATGTTGTTTATTAGTCGATCAACAACAGCTAATAATATTTAATAAAATAATTGATAATGCGTAGTAGATGATAGATACTGTGTGATAATGATAACTATGTTTGTGTGTATATATATATATATATATAGTTAATAATTAGGAATGAATGATATTTGTTTTGATTATCGTATTCCCGATTGATTACTAATAACTATAATGACATAAGGACATTAATATAATAGTAATAGCAATAATGAACTTAATTAAATTTAGAAAAAGCTAGATAAAGAGAGGGGGAGGAGGAGAGAGAAAATCGTGTGTGCGTATGCACGTGTGCTTATTTATATATTAACATGTATAAAAAATTCGGAATTAATTCGACAGATTTCCGAATTTAAAAATAATATTTTTTTTTCAAAAATCACATCTATAATAATATACACGCACGCATGTAGAACACACATAATTTATTTTATTTCACAAAGATCGAAAATTAAAGATCGAAATATTGATTTTTATCATTAATAATATTCAATTGATATAAAATTGGTAATTCTTTTTTAAATGGTATGTGTATATTACGTAAAAATAAGCAGCATATTACCTAAAAAAAAAAATTAAACTGTATAATCATATATTTTTTTTTTATATATCCGAGTTTCGCAAGTTTAAATGAGTAAATTGATTCTCGAATACTGAATTTGATTTCATTTTTTTTTTTATTACATAAATACATAATTAAAATACATAAATAGAGATAAACAAACAAACAATAAACTTATTGTTGTTGTAATAATATTAAATGAGTAGATTAATAGATTAGCCGATAGAATCACCATAACATTAGGTTAGACTATATAATTTGTAATTGAATTATATGCTTGGCGATAATATAATTTCAATTGCAATTGACATATTTGATCGATCGATTGGTTAGTCGGATTTCTATTTATTAACTAGATTGGCAAGAATTTTTTGGGATAATTGCCCGGGTATGATTGCCGAAAGGGGGAAATGCCTAATACCAATAAATGGTTTTAATCAAATTTCTAAAGTAATTATAGTAATTATAACCAAAATAATAAATATTTCTTAGACTTCGAATCACTCACTTCTAATAAATAAATAAATAAATAATATTAACATATTTTCTAATTCATTTCATATACAGTATATATACACTATACGATGTGCATGTAATTTGTGTAGTAGTGGTACATTATCATTATTATTATTTATTTATTTATTTATTTATTTATTAACTAATTAATAAAAAAAATTTTAAAAATAAATATTATTTATTACACAAAAATGTAAGCGATCAAAGAATTATAAATTTTTGAAATTTTAATCGTATTTTCGAAAATGTATAAATTGCACGAATTGCACACAAAAACGTGCGTTTACACACACATACTATTACATACTATTTATTACTTTTTTTCTGTCATATTTGATGGATATATTTATATTTAATAATAATAATAATAAAGAGCTTGTTTTTAGTAATTTTTTTTTACGCCTTTTTTTTTTTTTCTATCAGAATTACTATTTTTTTAAATTTTGATGTTGCACGAGTTTTAATTTTAAAAAAATTACGTCACGTATCAAATAGTCATGTGATAGATGAGCAAAAAAAGGTTTCAAATTATAGTAAAAAGAATTAATTAATTAAATTAATTTATTTAATTTTTCGGGGCTTCGGAAAATTAAAACCAAAAATCACGATTACACAAAAGATGAATAAAGCTAACATACCATATATATATAAGTGTATATGTATGTATATTATCTGATTAATTGATTGACTGATTGACTGATTGGTAAATAAATAAAGATAAATTAATTAATTAATTAAATTAATTAATTAATCAAGAGGGAAGATTACCCTCGGTTAATTTTTAAAAAAATTTAGAAATATTTATATCACACAATTTAAATATATACAACGAATAAATAAATGCTTATAAAGTAATAAATAAACAAACAACAACAAACAAACAAACAAACAAACAAATAAATAAATTCTATTTTATCACATTTATTTATTTACTTCTTACATAATAATAAAACAAGAATTTAAAATTACTATTAATGATTAATAAATAAAAAATTTTGTTTTTTTATTTTATTTGTGACATATTTGTATAAATACAATAATATAAATAATGTAGATATGAAGAGAAGAATGTAAAAGAGAATGAATTAACATCGTCGCTCGTTTGTTCGTTACCTTTAATAAATTTTATTCTCATTAATAATAGGATCTCAATTTGAAACTCTTGACAATGATAGTTATTAATTATCTTGGTATTACTTTGTAAGATAATTCCATTAATTATGATTAGTAGCTTAATAAAAATGATTAGCTCGAGTCAGTTAGTAAATAGCTTTATAATGAATGATTAATTTAGCGAGTGGATTCCTCTTCTTTAACGGTTAATTAGTCTGATTTGGATATTAGTTGATTATTAATCTAATAAAGAATTCTCTAAATAGTAATAAATAAACAAATTTAATAAAGGATTTAATATAATAAAACGATATGAACGCAATTAATTATCTTGCTTTTTAAGTTTACAAAAAGAAAACGATTTTTTTTAAAAAAATTACATATTTATGTATTTATAATAAATAATATATATACAATAAATTTATAATGGAAATTGTTTAAAATAAATAAATAAATGATTTTTGTTTATTTATATATTATAACTATTTTTTATTTATTTATTTATTAGTGAAAAAAAAACTTATATACAGGCACTTTTCTTAAACAGATTTAAAAATTTTTTTTCCCTTAATGATTTTTTTCTTGTTTTTTTTTTATAAAAATTAATTTTCTTCATTTTTTTTTTTTTTTTAGAAAAAAAAATCCCAATTACTATTTCCTATTTATCATCATCATCATTACTATTATATATATATATATTTATTTATTTATTTATTATATTAATTTAAAAATTTTTACTAACATAATTTTATAAAAATCTTTTTTTTTCATATTCTCTTCTCTGTTTGTTTTTATCCTCTTTACTTATATAATATAATATATATATATACATAATAAACAAACAACAGTATTTCTTTCAAAATCAAGAAAAAAATTAATCATTAAAAACTCCTTAATCATCAAGATTTATTTAAAAATTCTGATTAAAACAATCAAGTAAACAAGCTTTTTCTAAAGATAATTTTTATTTTATTTTATTTTGATTTGTAAAAACAAAATATATTCTTTCACATCGACCGATCAATCAATCAATCATCGATCAATCAATCAATCAAATACAAACCAATCTTTTCTCACATGGTTGGTTCTTTTTTAATTATCTTACATGTCACGACACCATACAACTGGTATTTCCTCTAAAAAAAACTATTATTATCAAGAAGAACAACAAAATCAAAATACAAGTAGAATAACCAACAACAACACTAATTATTATAATAGTAATTATATTACACCTAAAAACTCCCTTCTTCTTACTAAACCTATTTCAATATCTACTTCTTCATCATCACAAGAATCGATAGAATTAGAAAATATTTCATCTTCGTTATCACCGCCACCACCGTCACCACCAATAATATCAAATATGACTACTTTACCTACCTTACCACCTATTAGCACTATTTCCCATAATTTGCTTCCTCGAATATTACCATCTCCATCTCCTTCGTCATCATCTCCATCCTCTTCATCAATGAATCAACAAAGAGATCCTTCTTTCAATTATAGGAATAACAACAGCGATATTCAGAAATTCCAACATCCACATCAATATCATCCACATCAACATCAACAACAACATCAACAACATCAGAATCAGAATCTTTCAATAAATCATGATCCATCTTCTTCTGATTCTCATTCTTCTCAATTACCATCTTTATCCACATCAATAATACAACAACAGCAGCAGCAGCAGCAGCAACCAACACCTACTACACCTTACCTAAATACTTACCCTCCTTTCTTATCATCTCCAAATTCTCATTCCTCGCCACCACATCCTTCACCTTCACCACCACCCTCTTCTACTTCATATTATTCACATCAAAAATCACCTCCTTCAACCTCATCATCATCACCAGCCACTCATTATTACTATCCTTATCCACCCCAACTTTCTACACAACAATATCATCATGACCATCATAACCATCACCATTCTTCCCAAAATACGAACTCTACTGCTACTATTAATAATTCCACTACTAATAAACCCAATATTAATAATCCTAATAATACTAACATTAATAAAAACAACACTCGTATAAAAACGTCATCTAAATCAAATTTATATCGATCAACTCAACAATCTCCATCTCCACCATCATCTAATAACAATAATAGTTCTAATGGTAGCAGCAATAATAATAATAATAATAGTCATCATCATGATAATAGTAATACATTGATTCACAATGGATCTAGCCAATCAACTCCAATACGCCCATATCAAAGAAGCCACACATCACAAAATGTTATAACTGAACCATTTGTCACAGTAACACCAGAGCTAAACAATAGACCACCAAGAAGACGTAGACGTCCTCCATTCTCTTACTCATCATTAATAGCTCAAGCTATTTTAGATTCACCTGAACATAGATTAACATTACGTGAAGTTTACCATTGGATAATGGAACGTTATCCACAGTTATATAAAGCTGATGATACTGGTTGGCAGGTTAGTTTTTATTTAATTATTATAAAGTAATTTTATTTTAGTAATTGGTTGATCAATCATTTTTTGGGGTACCATCATCATGATCGTTATTTTATTATTATCTTACACCAATCCAAAATTTCATTTTAATTTTCCTTATAAAAAAAAAAACTTAATATAGAAAAAAAATTTTTTTTACACATTTTTATATTATAATATAAATTATTACGGGTAACCCCGATCTAGTTAATAATATAGAACAATACTTCTATTTGATGAATGATTTTTTTGATGATGATGATGAATTTAATTTTTTTGAAAATAATGCTTATTTGTGTCTAGTTTATTGTGATGACAAATTATATAAAAAAAACCTGTTTTCACTTATTATAGAAATGCTTTTCGCATTTTAACTTTGTGTTACAAGCAATTACAATAGTAGTTGAGAAAAGATTAGTTAGCAGAAATAATAACATTCTATCTAAAGCAATAACAAGTATAATAGATAAACAAATAATTTTTAATTTTAAATTCCCTTTTTTTAATTTAATTAATTAAAATTTTTCCCACCCCCCTCTGTTTTACACAAATAAACAAACATTTATTTATTTTACCTTTCCTAACAAATATATTCTTTTTCTACTACTATATATATGTGCAGAATACAATACGACATAATTTATCATTGAATAAATGTTTCAAAAAAGTACCACGTTCAGATGCAGAATTAGGAAGTGGGGGTAGTGGCGCATCAACCACTACTGCAAGTAAAGGTAAAGGTGGATATTGGACAATTGACCCTGATTATATGACTGGGTATCATGATGGTGTATTCACAAGAGGTGGTGTACAAAAACGTAGACCGGGCGAATTAGTCACTGTTACAACAACGACAACGCCGTCAAACCATAGCGGATTAATATCATCATCTCCATCATCTCCGTCATCTCCATCAACCCCATCCACTATAACAACAATAACTACTACTTCCACCAGTGGTACTGGTGCTACTGGGACAAAAAATAGTGACAATAAGAATAATGACAATGATAAGAACACTGATAATAGTGACCATATGATTTGTGATGATCATGAAGAAGATAATAATAGTGTTAGCGGCGGAGGAGGAAGCGACGATGGTTCTTTACATAATGATAGTGGCATAGGTGATATTGATATCGATTATAATCATAATAATCATCACCATCCTCAACTTGCTCTAAAGACAACATATTTGTCGTCATCATCGTCACCACCTGCCACCACCAATACTTCATCATTAATGACACCGCCACCTTCGTCAACATCTAGGAATAACAAAGCTCTATTTGACAATCACTCTTCTTCAATTAAATCACAAACTATCAATGATAATAGTAATATTAATAATAATGTATTTCATTCAGATATAAATAATAACATTTCCTCATCTTTAAATAATAATAACAACCAATTTATACAAAAGTCACTATCACCATCGCCGCCGCCAGAAAGAAGTACTTCTAGTATTACTAGTAGTCCTATTAAACACGAATATAACAATAATACCAAAAGTGATAATTCTTCATTAAGTATCGTTATAAATTCACAACAACAACAAAAACATATGGAAGGATGTGGTGATGAATTATCGCCATCAACATCAATTCATGCCTCATCATCGCCTACTTCAATGAAGATCAGCGATTTATTGAATTAATTAAATTTTTTTATAAGTAAGAAAGAGATTAAAAAAAAAAAGACTATCAAATTTTTTTTGATTTTTGCATATATCCACTTACACTTACGTATATATATATATTATTATACATATCTAATGCCTCACCTTACTTATATACATCCATTTATACATACCTACATATTTACATACATTTATCTACTATTTTATTGAAATTTTTAATTTTTGATTTTTTTATATAACCCCTCGATTATTTTGTGTATAGATTCAGCAGGAAATATGAATTTTTTTTTTAATAATAATAATCTTAATAATTAATAATAATAATAGTAGTAAAACTTAATTAGTTAATTAATTATATTTTAAATTTTTTTAAGTAATCTTTTTTTGATAAAAAGAATTTTCTACCCGATGGTTTTTTTTTTAATTATTAATTAGTTTGATAGTTGGTTTTTTTAATATTTATATAATATGTATATACAATATTACCATATATTATTCTTTCATATGTATAAATAAAACATAACACATTAATATAAGTTATTCGTAATAATAAAAAAATAATAAGATTCATTATTAATTAATCTTTAAATCTCTAATTTTTATTTTGATTTATTGACAAGATAACAAATGGTTAAATCTCCTTGACCAGGAGTGACCTCATTGGATCTGAGAGTGTTGAAGTGTTTTGAATGCCCAGTATAAATTGACTTGCATAAGTTTTTGGGAAGGGTAGTAAAAGTGGAATGAAAGCTGAGCGAGGACCAAGGCTTTAATGGTGTTAGTTACACTCGAATGAAATGCATGGTAGGTTGACACACTCAACAGCACCATATGCTTTGATACTAATGATATTGCTATTGATAATTCTATGAAAACGCCATGCACAAATCTGTTGGGAACAATAATTGTTATTCATTCCAACCGTGCAATATATTTAATGCTTGCTCCTCATTTGTCATCATCTTTTTGAGTGTTTATAATCTCCTGTGCCGGTTGTTCAATTAACATAACCGACAGGATAAACGAGTATGTTTTTAGATATTCAAGGAAATGAGAATACGGGTTGGGAAGAGCAAGAATGCAAAGTCCATCAAGTTTTGACACAGGTAATGATGTTGAATGATAATTGTGGTTGTGATGATGATGATAATAGTTTATTTTGATCTTCTTTTCCGGCATGTTCTTTTATATAATTTCTTTCCGCAGCACCAAGTTTTGTCTGTTTTCTTTCTACAAAGCTGCTGATTATATCGATCCTTCAACTGAGACTTGGGATATTCAAAGTTCTTCAGATCTTGGCCAAGCTCTCGATGAATCCTACGAGCCGCGTCAATTTTTGACATAGTCTGAACTGTTTTGAGGGCATTTTCTTTTATTCATATTCATATTCATCCTTTTCAACTTAACACCCTTAAGAATATTAGGTCATTTCTTATGATATAACATTCTCTCGCATCTCTCTCTTACTTTACGAGCAACCTTCAAACTCTGATAAGCATTCTTCTGTTATCTGTTCCTTTGAATCGGGGTCTTTTACAAGCCTTTCGTGGACAAGGCTTAAATTGATTCTTTTTCCGCAAGCGTTTCCTTTCCTTCTTGAGATGATCAGTATCATCATCAGCCTTTTTGTCAAATTTTTCCTTGTCCTTGTTTGATGTCTCAAATTCCTTCACCCAATTCAAGGAATGTTCTTTTAACCGCTTGAAATTGGATGACCATGTCTTGATGAGCCATTTGAAACGGCTTTACCAATAATGCGAGTTATAAACTATCAACATATTAATATGCAATTCTGTCGACAAATCTGAGGTCATGACTTTGGCAGGTATTATCAATTCTTTCCGAGTCAGAAAAAAGTCTCCTTTTGGTTTTATAACCATGTGCTTATATTTCCATGTAAAAAATCTCTTAAGGGAAAAAATCATTTTTCCGTATTAAGAACATGTCTGCCTGCATAGATTGTATAGTCAAAACTCGTTAAATTCATATTCGATAAATTGATAAATTCATAATCGTTTAAATTCGTAATTTTTTCAGGAACAATGTTAGTTATATTAAAACTTTATTCGATAATTTCATAATCACAATAAATCTCGATAATCGATAAAGTCAATAACTCTCTTACTTTTATTACAGTATGTCATCGTATAAAAAAATCTCGCCCTTTTAAATACGTGGCTCGTGTAACCATTAAAATATTATTATGGTGTTTATAGTAACAATTGGCCAGCTTCAAAATATTTTTATATCATCTTAAAAAAGCTAACCGATAGATTTTTATTGTTCATTTACTCAAGTTACAAAAACTTATCGGTTAGTTTTTCTTAAACTAAAAATTGGCTGAACCTTAGCATTCTGAAAATTCCAAATTTTGTTGTACCAACTAATAATGTTTTTATTAAAATTTTACTAGTTTCTCTTTATTTCATTGGTCGAATAATTTCACGTGACTGTTCCTACCTAACCCACTTGTATCACAATGATTTTCTTAAATTTTATTGGCTAAAATTTGTGCACGTGATAAATAAAATTTGATCGTTAACTGTATAACAATACATGCAATCACATACTGTATTTCTTTTCATACAGTATAGGAATGCAAAAGTGTACAGTACTGAATGTCTATATACTCTATATTTTTAAATAAGAAAACCAGATGATGTTCTGACTAAGGTTTCCAGTGAAAAAAACTATATAAATCAACCTATTCTAATTTTAAAACCAATTTTGCCTAATTTCGGTTATTAATAAAAAATAGTTTGGGCCTATAAAAAAAATAAATTTTGCACCCAGTGTTTCAGCAATTTTTGTTATTAAGAGAGGTAGTTTCGACCAGAAACTTTAGTTCTGACAAAACTTTATGCCCATAGCTTTTAAAATGGGCCCAAGATGACAAATATGGATTTGCTGCAGAATACCAGTTCATTTATAAAGTATTATTTTAATTAATAAAAACAATAAAAGACAAAAAATAACTACATTACATTAATTAAGTAAATTGCAAAACATTTATTAATTGTTTTTGTGCAGGTATTATCATTTAATTGTTTAATTAATCAAGTTTGATAAATTTTAGCTTCAAGATCATTTAGTATATCTAATAAAATATATCTTTTAATAATACTGCAGACAAGCAAATTCGTAAGGTATTTAAGTGGTGTTTAAGAACAATGGTAAATGAAATATTGCTAATGACCATAATAGATCTTAATGCAGATCAAAGAATTATTTAAAAGAAAGCAAGGTCAAGATGTTGTTGAGATCAATATTTCTGCCGATGAGCTCAATAAAGTTGGTGTATGAGATGCAATAAATGCAAAATATGATGCTGAATAATCTCTTCATTAAAGTAAGTTTCATTCTAACTTACACACTTATATATGTTGTTTACACTCTTACCAATTTTTGTATTAGTTTGTGGTGCAGATAAGGAATGAATCCATTGTTGAATAGCAAATTCATGCGAAACATGAAATCCAAATTGGTTCACAGAAGTTAACACAATATGTATGGTTGAAGACAATCAGCTTCGGACTGATGTTGGTATATGTTTTATCATAAAGTTTTTGATGTTTGGATTGAGGTAAATTTTATTGATTTTCTGGAGGGAAAGAATGTAACAATTTTGCTTATCAAATCTGAATTCTTTTCCAATCAAGACCTGGATTGTAGCAATGTTTTGAATGATATTGCTTTGATTCATAGACATTTGATAGGAATTGAATTTGTTGGAATCTCTATTCTCTTTTCATGGTTCGGTTCAGTTTTTCGGTTCACATTTGACTTGGACATTCTATATAAATTCGTTAACTATGTAAAAATATACATAATAACTTCACAAATAACTTGTGGCTTAGTTTTAGTGAATGTGTTGTGAAGTAGAGAGATGCTGGAAGATCCTGTTTCTAAATACATAATTTTTATACCATGGTAGCGATGGTCCATTTCTTACCAAAATTAGAATGGAGAACATTCATAGATTCACCACAAAAATTTGTACGTTTGGAGTTTCTATTCGCAATACAAACTTTTATTTGCTTTATTAGTTTTATTAGTTTTATTAGTTTCATTCGAATTATTCATTTCATTTGACTAAACTTTCAATTTATAACGAATAAAACAAATAATTCGAATAGAAATCCTAAGGACGTTCTATTTTTTTCAATTCATATACAAAATTCATCATCTCTGCAAACTTTTAAACTCATTCAAGCTCTCTTATTGTTTCAGGTTCTAAAATACAACGCCTTTGAATAATTAAGTCTGTGCCTCCAGAAAAAACTTGTTCGACCAAGACGCTGGATTAGAAATTAATAAATTTAATTCTAAATAAGCAGAGTGCAAAAGTTAGATACCAGGGACTGCCAAGTAGTTTTTAGCTTAAAGCACTGAACAGTTCGATTCAAACAGAAAATTTCAGTTCGGAACTTTATTCAGAACCCAAATCCAGGGCCAATTATTACCCCTGCAACCAGTCAAACTAACATACCTTACAGAGCCCCATATGTAGAGATGTTCCAATGCGCATGTCATGCGCACTGCATTGTGCGCACGTAATTTTTGAAATCATGCGCATGTAATTTTTTTTGTACATAGTAATAAATGTAACACAAAAAAAATTAAATTTTTTTTTAGAAAATTTTGGTCACAATTACTACATTATAAACAACATACTGGCTTGTTTGACAATTCTTTAGCATGGTCAACTATAGATGAAGCAGATTTGGTAACATGGTGTAAAGGGAATTTTTTATTAGTTGCCCCTGAACTAACTAATCTTGCTGTACAAATTCTTTCAATCCTACATCTTCAGCAGCACCCAAAAGAAATTGGCCTGCATTCTCATATATACATGATAAAAAAAGAAATAGACTAACATCTGGTATGGTTTTCAAATTAGTGTTTATTTATTTTAATTATAATTACAAAAATCAAAAAAATCAAAAGATAATGTCAATGGAAACACTATGATACTGGTAATGATAATGAGGAACAGGAAGATGATGTTAGTGAAGTGA